GACCAGTGCCCCCTCCAATAGGAGGCGCCACTTGGGCATTATGGACACCATTATGGTATCCATTATGTTCAAGTAGAATAATCCTTAAAATTATAATATTTAATACAGCTTTTCTACATCTGGTGGTTAAATACTGCATGATGATCTTTTCCCTTCTAGTCTCTTAAAGTTTGTATCCAGTTTAATACACATTATTGTTTTGCAATCTGATGGTCTTTACATAGAATTATCCATTAACATTTAGGTTTTAGAATTTTTTTGTCTTAACAAATGTTGGTGAATACGTAAGTTCTATTGCACACGTGTAATCTCAAAGTCTGTAAAGGTAAATTCCGGGAGTCCCCCTCCCCCCAAAAAAATATTTTCAATTTTTTTTTTTTGAAGATAACTTTTCAACAAGATCAAGAAGACAAACAACGAATATTTAACTGTAAATAATTAAATGGATTGCTTGTGAATCTTCAATGAGAAACAAATGAGTCCTGTAATAATCTTATCTGATTTAATGTCTAGTCATATGAATGCTTGAAAATAAAGCAAGTTTCTGAATTTGGTTTCCTGCATGCATTCTTGGGAAATAAATGATATTGATTATCTACCCTAATATACTTAAAGCAATAAAACTTAATCTGTTTCTGTTTCTTTGTCATTACTGCTCAGCATTCAACATTTGAGTGATGCTATGCTTACAAAGTAGGTTTACAAAAAAGGTTGACAAAGTGGTTGTTGGCAAACTCAAGACCATTCAATTCAAAAACAGTTTTTGAAAGCAACAAAATCCATTGGCCTTGATCTTGCCAACACACACTTTTTCAACCATTTTTGTCAAACTACTTTGTACAAGTAGTTTAATTGTTAACATTTTGTTGCCGTTAATATTGTTGATTTCTTTTTAATGTTGTATAGGAATTCAGAAAGGAAGTGGTATTTGTTATTGATATAAGTGGAAGCATGAGGGAAAAACCTATTGAGGACACCCAAAGTGCCCTGTTTGCAGCTCTGTCAAAGCTTGATTCTGAAGATTTGTTTGGTGTAATAGCATTCAATGATGAAACCCACCTATTTTCGTCATCTATGATGCCAGCAACCATGAAAGCTATTGAGAATGTCACTCAGTGGATTACCTTGAACTTCATCGCTGGAGGTGGCACAAAGATCTTACTTCCTCTGAATCAGGTTCAGTTGCATGTTCTTGCAATCTTGAGAAGAACTTCCTTGTTTAATTGCAAGTCCTTCTGTCTACTAGGAGCACATACATGATTCTCTCTCTCTCTCTCTCTCTCTCTCCCCCTCACACACTGATTTTGAGTTACCTATGGATGTGCTTGATGACAATTAAGCAGGGTTGAGATTGATTCATTTAGAAGTGATTTAGGAAATGGAAGTGATCTTAATGATGACGTAGTTTACACATGGAATCAATTTCAGAGGAGCTGATGTTTACCAAGTTGATGCGCGCGTAACATATGAAAG